AATTTTTAATATTTATTTTTTAGTTCTCGGCGGACACAACATCTTTTTGTTGGTATGTGGTGCTGAGGATCGAACCCGGGCCGCACGCATGCCAAGCAAGTGCGCTACCGCTTGAGCCACATCCCCAGCCCAGTCCGTCACCTTTAAACTCAGCCTCACACAAAGTCTCAAGCCATTAACAAAATGCAGATAAAGTTCTCTGTCAGAATGTAACATAAATGGCTTCTGGTCTTCCCAAGAGTGTCCTCATTTCCATCTGAAACTTTATGAGTACAGTATTTACTGTCCACATTCTTATCAGCATTTTGGTCTTCTGGGCTCCCACTGGAATCACCCACTGAGCTGTGCTTATAGCCTTCTAGGGCTTTTCTAACAAATTTCCCCAAAATTTTTCCAAATTGCTTCTGCAAATCAATTCTAAAGGCTTCTGAACAACATCATCAGTTATAGTCATAGCAATGAACCCACTTCTTGGTACCAATTTGCTGTGCCAGTCAGCTTTGCATCACTATGACAAAATACCTGGGATAATCAACTCAGAAGGAGGAAAGACTGATTTCAGCTCATGGCTTCAAAAGTCTCAGTCAATGGTTAAGTGGCTCCACTGCTTTGGGGCCTGTGGGGAGGCAGTACATCATGACAGGGAGCACGTGGCAAAGCTACTTACCTTATGACATCCATGAGAGAGAGACACAGAGAGAGGAAGGATCTAGGGTCCAATAGACCTTTCAAGTATATTCCCCCCAAAGACCTACTTCCTCCCACTTTCTAAAGTTTCTACCACCTCCCAGTAGCACCATCAGCTGAAACCATCATTCAGAAAATGAGCCTTTGAGGGACATTTAAGATCCATACCAATACAATGGGCATGTACTATTTTCATAATCAGAAATAAGAATAACTCTCATTTTATAAAAGATAAGATTCACCATGATAAGTATGGAACAGGATAGCTTTCTAAAATAATAGATTAAAAAGAACTCTATTGGGCTGGGTTACGGCTCAGTGGTAGAGCGCTCGCCTAGCACATGCGAGGCCCTGGGTTCGATCCTCAGCAGCACATAAAAATAAATAAATAAATAAAATAAAGGCAATGTATCCAACCACAACTAAAAAAAAAAAAAAAAAGAAAGAAAAAAGAACTCTATCTAGCCAAAGTCAGGGGCTTTTCCAGGAAAAAAGAAAAGAAGCAGGGACTGGGGTTGTGGCTCAGAAGTAGAACACTTGCCTCACAAGTGCGAGACCCTGGGTTCGATCCTCAGCACCACATAAAAATAAATAAGTAAAATAAAGATATTGTGTCCAACTACAACTAAAAAAATAAATATTTTAAAAAAAGCAAATTGCTGGGATTACAATCATGTGTCACCGTGCCTGGCTACCTGATTTTTATTCTTAATTTATTATCCCTTTTCTATTTGATGTATTCATGGTGAACAGTTATATTGCTTTGTCCTCCCTTGGACTAAGATGGACATGTGACCCCAGATATCCAATCAGACTCTCTATCCCTAGAACCTGAATCTCCAAGTCACATAATCCAAAAACATCAAAAAATAGTTGGGGGCTGGGGATGTGGCTCAAGCGGTAACACGATCGCCTGGCATGCGCGGGGCGCTGGGTTCAATCCTCAGCACCATAGAAAAATAAAATAAAGATGCTGTGTCCACCGAAAACTGAAAAATAAATATTAAAAATTCTCTCTCAAAAAGAGGTGGAAATTTGGTGCGGTCTTGCTCTCCTGTCATCCCAACATCTCTGGAGGCTGAGGCAGGAAGATGGGAAGTTCAAGGCCAGCCTGGACAACTAAGCAAGATCCAGCCTCAAGATAAAAGGTAAAAAGAGCTGTGGTGCAGCTCCCGGGTTCAATCTCCCGTACCAAAAAAATTCACAATGACAAGACGGCAGCAGTCTGAGTCCCTGACACCACCTGAACTGGCTCTCAGTAGAGATCCACTGTTTTGATATTTATTTCTAAGTTGTGGTTGGACACAATGCCTTTAATTATTTTCGATTTTTTCGTCCCAGATGGACACAACCCTCATCTTACTTGTTTATTTGTAGGTGGTGCTGGGAACGCACCCAGGCCTCACGTGTGCTGGGCAACTCTGCCCCCGAGCCCCAGCCTGGCCCAGTGCGGGTCCACTTCTCATTCCAGCATCTAGAAGGCCAGTTCCGTCCCAGCTGCCAGCCCTGGCCCCACCGATGCCTCCGGCAAAGGGCCTGCCAGGCGGCTCCTGCTCCTGTGTCCACTGACGGGGGCTCCTCCAAGTCCAGTGGAGAAGACCAGAATCCCGGGGCCCTCCCCACGCAGCCTGGGATGGCGTCCACCGGCCCTGCCTGCCCCCAGCTGGCCGCTGGGGCCCACAGGCTGTCACCCAGGACAGGATGCGCAGGGCGGGAGCTGGGGAGCAGGGACCAGGAGGCCTGTGGGGTGTGCAGCCCCCCACCCTTCTAGCCCCGCTAGAGAGTGGGTTCTGGAGCCCCCTCCCTGCTGAAGCAACCGGTTCTGTGGTTCTGACCCGGATAAAGCAGGAGTGTGATGGGTCCGAGTCAGGCCCAGCGGGGCCCTGTGCCACACTTGGTTCCTCTGATCCCTCCCTCAGGATGGGACAGGGACCCTGGGGTCCTGGGGGGACCGTTGGTGCTTCTCCAACACAGAGGCTGCTGAGTTGTCCCTGCCCACCCTCCTCCCATGTCCCTGGTGTGTCCAGGAGACGGTCACAGTGGGGGCCGAGGACGTCTCTCGCAGCCCTCAAACAGCGCGAGCCTGGAGCCAGGCGGGCAGAGCAGGTCGCGGCGGGCTGGTGGGACTTCCCGGCACAGTGGGCTTCCGCTGCGGTTACTGACAGCTCTATTTCAGGCAAGAGATGGGGGTTGTCACGTAGGGCGCTCTTGGCCCCTGTCCCTAGGATGGCAGCTGCAGGGTCCCCAGCCCTTCCCAGGAGCCCTACCCTGGGCCTCCCACAGCAGCTCTGGGAGCTACGGGTGCTGAGCTGTGGACCCCGGCCCCTCATGGAGGCCCCTCTGCAGACACCACTGCCGACAGTTCAAGGCCACCAGAGGGCTGTCCCTGGCCCCTCTGCCCACCACGTCCTCTCTTGCCTAGGGGGGGGTCTGTCCACAAGGACCCCTTGGACAGATTCTGTGAAATCTCGCATGAGGCCACTGGCGGGGAGTGGCCTTCGCACCTGGAGGACCCCAGCGGGTGCTCTGCCTTCTCCTTCCTGGGCTCTGAGCCAGACCCTGACTCGCGGGGTAATGAGATCAGACCTGAGCACTGGGTGCCTGGACACGGGGTCTGTGAGCTCAGAAACCCTGAGCTGTGGGCTGCCCCCAGGCCCAGGGCAGTGGCCACCAGAGGAGGGCAAACTGTACTGGGAGGTGGCGGCTCAGCCTGCCTGCAGGGGTGGCCAGAGGAGGGAGGCAGCGCCCCTCCCGCCTCCCCAGGTCCTTCTGTGGCCGCCAAGAGGCTCCCAGGTGTTGTCTTTGGTCGCCCCAATTTCCCCCGCGGGTTGCCCATGATGGTGACGTTATGGAGCTGGTGGAAATTTTTACTGCTTTTGCTTTTGTTCGTGTTTTCTGGCGCCACGCACTAACAGCCCTGGGCGGAGGGTGCTTAAGTGAGGCCGAGGGAGCTGAAACAGCAGGGTGGGAAGCGTCCCTGGGTCCTGGGGCTCTGCGGCTTGCTTACCTCCCCAGATGGGCAGCTCATGATTCCCCAACCCCTGAGCGCGCGTGCACGCGTGCGTGCAGCCCCTGCTCCCCGCTCTGCGACTCCACTTCCCGGGGTGGGTGACGGCGCGTGCTCTTGGGCGCCAGGTCAGGACTCGTCGTGGACCCCAAGTGCGCCCCGGGACCCCGCCCCGACCGCGCGGGAGGCGCAGGGGGCCTGGAGGGCGCGGCGGGGAGGGGCCGGCGGCGGCGGCGGCGCGCGAGCAGACCGCAGTGCGGCCGGCGCTAGGACCCGCGGGGGCTCCCAGGCCGCGGCGCCTCCCGCTACCCCCACTCCCTGGCCGTCCTTCCCCCCTAAAAATGAGGAAACCGAATAACTTGCTCCAAGTTGTGGTACCCGATCCGCCCCGGGGTGCGCAGCCGGCTTGCGGGGGCCCTCCTGGGGGCGGGCGCAGGGCGC